AATTTTTTAGTAATCATAAATTAAAAAACTACAATTCAGTGACCCTGCTCAGTATTTTAAAAAAGAATTTTGAATTCTTTTGGAGTATGTATAAACATTTACATAAATACAGACACCCATACACAATCCCGACCATAAGTCAATCAAGAGTTAACATCTCATAAAAACACTGACCTCAGTGTTAAAAAAAAAAAAAAATGCTTTTTTGCAATATTTTAAACTAAAAGTAAGTATCTGTCTATATTTCTGAGATGAGGTATTATGTACACTATTTACATTATTCAGACTATTGTCCTCATCTTTGTTGCCATATTTATTACAACGTTTCAGCCATTGCACACACCAGTCTTCTTCAGGTGGTTGGAATGTCGAACTAAAATAAAGGGTTCAGTTCGACATTCCAACCACCTGAAGTAGGCCGGAGTGTACAAAGGCTGAAACGTTGTAATAAATATGGTGACAAAGATGAGGACAATAGTCCGAATAATGTAAATAGCGTAAAAGTAAGTAATATTTTGTTTCAAATCAGATTAATTAAACTTTAAATCCACCAATCTTCCACAAAGATTCATAAAAGTATCTTTTTATTTTTGAAAGATTTTTAATGAAGAAAACATGCTGTACTTACAGATTTGCCAATATGGCTGATATTTTAGTGATTTTAACAATTTAAAAAAAAAAATCATTCAAATCAATTTAAGTTCAGTTTGAAATACAGCAAAGTAATTTGCTTATTGGAAATATTAAATTTAATCTATGCACTTGAAATTAAAGCTAAGACAAAAGATTTTTCATTTTTAAAACCTTAGATATTGTTTGTCTTTGGAGGTATATATATATATGTGTGTGTGTGTGTGTATATATGTGGACATTGAAAGGAGTCATGTAAGTTTCATAATCATGTAGAAGTACATCTTCATGGCGCAATGTAAAAAGTTAAAGATTTATGATTATGGCCACAGCAGCAAAAGTTTTAAGTTAGAATCGCCAAGTTGGTCAAAATATAAGACGTATACTAGTCAATGTAAATGATAAAACTTCATTCATTTGAGGTCAATCATGAGAAAGGCTTTGGGAGTAAACCCTGAGGACAAATCCGGAGCCAGAGTGCGTAAGATAGTCCAATCTTATGTTCAACTTTGTTCTGGCAATTCCTGTGACACTGATGCCAAGCTGTATTTGCCTCTACCTTTCCTTTGGACAACAAACAGCATGGGGAGACATGCTGCATGGGTAATCTAGCAATCTCCATCCTGGCAAGGATACTCCAGTGTTGCCTCACCATGACACCAAAACACAAGAAGCAACAGAAGTTAAGAGAAGAACAAGACACCAGGTGTTGCTTTTGACAGAGAGAAAGGTCACCATACCTCAATGGACAGCCACTGTCCGCCTCAAATTGGGCAGCCCTCAGCCAATAACGTGCTGTCCCACCACAGTGCACTTGCTTCACTGGGTGCAGGGGGCATAGGGATACAAGTATCCTGAATCACGGCCTGCCAACACTGCACCAAGTAAAACAACGAAGAATCAAAAGAAGAAAAATAAACAGCATTTAGAATTGGATGTTGAAAACATACAGACTTTGACAACAAATCTACAGGATGACCTTCACAAGATCAACGACACAAGCAAAAGACCAGTGATTAACAACGAACTACACCGGCTTCAAGGAGACATTGCAGCGCTTCAAGAGACATGGCTTCCAGAGTCAGGAACCTTTCATGAGAGAGAAAATATACTTTCTAAGATTAGTGAGCACTGTGTTGGCTTTGCTATAGAAAACTCACTGTTGAAGATAGTGGAACTCGGCCTATCTACTTGCATTGACTGTATACATCTGATGGAACTGTCATCCTTGTCAGCACTTATGCCCCAACCCTATACTCCTCACAAGACATCAAAGATGAGTTTTAGGATAAGCTATCAAAGAAGATACAGACCGTTCCGAAAGTTTAACAGTTGCTAATACTTGGTGACCTCAATGCCAGAGTGGGTGCTGAACATGACTCATTACCTAGCTAAGATGGCAATGGAAATGGTTAACGACTGCTTGAGCTTTGTATGTTTCACAAGCTATGCATCACCAACACATACTTCCAGGACAAAGCTCAGCACAAAGTCTCCTGGTGACACCCCCACTTTAAAAACTGGCACCAGCTAGATTTGATCCTCACATGATGCAAATACCTGAGAAATGATCATATGATGTGGTCCTTTCAGAGCACCAACTGTGACACAGATCACTCCCTGGTTTGCTACAAACTCAGATTTCAACTAAAGAGAATGCATTATGCCAGGCCTCCAAGGCAAACAGTATATCAATGCTACTACGACCAAAAACTCAATCAAATCAGCAATATTCATCAACATAAAAAAAAAAAAAAAAAAAAAAAAATCAGCCCTGGACAACATTTTTCTATTTCTGTCTATATCTCTGAGATGAGGTATTGTAACTATTTACATTGTTCAGACTGTTGTCCTCATCCTTATTGTCATATTCCTAACATTTCAGCCATTGTATGCTCCAGCCTTCTTCAACTTGGAGAGTTGAGTTACTAGGGAGGAAATAACTGAAACTGAGATAGCCGGAAGAGGCATGGTATGTGGAACTCGAACAATCTACCCTGGTGGATGAAATAAAGGGTTCAGTTCAAAATTCCAATCACTTGAAGAAGGCCAGAGTGTACAATGGACAAAAATGTTGTGATGAGGACAACAGTCCAAACAATGTAAATAGTGTAAATTTTTCTATTTATTTACCAAAAATACTTTTCCTTCTTTTTTTTTTTTTTTTACACTTCTCAATAAATTGTGATAAGACTGAGAGAAAGAAAAGTAAAAGAAATATTCGTCCAATAAAACCCGAAACTCATTGACATGGCACAACAAAGATCATTTATCTTCCCAGGGGCTAAGTAGATGGCTCAAATAATAGATTAAATGCCAAATGAGCAATTGATGCAGATTTAATCAAATTTAGATTTCATAAAATTGATCTCAGAATCAAGAGATACCCTGTGGATATAACACTTCTTTAAACTTCTTATGAAATATCAAACACTAGATCAATAATCAATGCTTAATTGTTATGACAACAAGAAACAGACTAAGATGGAAATACTGCAATCCAAATGAAGAAATTATAACTAAGAATATTCCAAAGAACTTGTCATTCAAAATAAAATAAACTACTCATATGAAAATGGCAACATTTCTTTAATTCTTTCCTTTACAAAACTAACAGGTCTTTCTCTCTGTCAAGGTTTTTAAATAAAATATAATTTTTTAAGTATTAGTTTTCAAATATTAAATATTAATATATATTTTTAAATAAAATATATAAGCCAGACTAAATAGTCATTAGAATCAAATTGACTATAATATCACTGCTATCTTTTTCCAGTGTTCAAACCTTTTGCACAACTCTGTCTCATAATTGTGCTTGCTTTCAAGTATTTTTGTATATCTAACATTTTATCAATTCAAATGTTATTTTTAGTGGATACCCATATTTGAGTAGACACTGTTTATTTATTTATTTATTTATTTCCATCTGATGGCCTGAATATTGGAGAAATCCTGCGAGAGATCACGTTGTTTTCCTTAATGTGATTTCTCAAATATTCACGCCAGCTGACAGATATATATATATATATATATATATATATATATATATTGTTTAATAAATTAATGTAGCATCTACACAAAGCAGCTGGTTATGAGGTGCCAGTGGTCCACCTTTGCTGGCTTGGAGCTGAACATAGTTGTCATCGGCTCTTTGAGCCATATGTCACAAGAGCATTTTATAGACAGTGTCCTCACTACCACACCTAGCTATGACAACCTTTGGAACGTATATAATGAACATATGTAAACATTACATGTTTTTAGATGATCCCAAAAAGCTGTTTTTTATTTTTTAATATATAGGGATTTTCTAATCATAGCTTAGATGTGGCACAAGACCAAAAGTATGGGGCTCCCAGTAAGGATCAAACTCACTATTCAGTCGTAACTGATTTAGTGAGACAATCTTGCTAACCATTACACCATCTTGAGCTGCCCCCAAAATAATTAATATATATAAAATGTTAGCAATTTGTAAAGAAGTAATGGATTTTTTAATTTATTAATCTGACAGATTTGATCACTTTAGCCGTTATTTTTAATGAATACCTAATTTGTGTAGATGCTACATATTTATTAAACAATATATTTATTTATATCTTTAATCTGGATTGAACATAGATAGATATATATATATATATATATATATATATGTGTGTGTGTGTGTGTAAATATATAGAAAGATAGGAAAGAAAATGTTAGGTAAATAAGCCAGAGTTCTTTAGTATTTTTGTTTATATTTAAAAAAAAAAAAAAAAAAAAAAACAGTGCTCCATACAGAAGTAGAGCTTAAATTATAATTATTTTAAAAAAATATGATTCCTTCACTACATAAGAGTTCGCATGTTTCAAAAATGAGAGCTAAAAACCTCAATATAATTATTAAAATTAAATTGAGTTAAAGTATCAAGCCCTGTTTCATCCTCAAGCAAAAATTTTGGAATAACCAATCTTGAAATTTATGTATCTTTATAAGCATGTTCTTTCGTAAAATTAATTACTATGGAAATGGCACAAATAAAATAAAGAAAGAGAATAAAATTGGATTGATTAGGTATATTTAGTACAGAAAGTGGCTAAATATACAACAAATTCTTATAAAAGAGATGCCAACTAAGCATGATGAATGGATGAGATTGTCAGACCAATTCTTGATAGCACAACCATTAGCAACCAAAGTAAAATGCAGAACAATAAACAGGAAAAAAAATGGTGGCACATGTAGGCAGACAGTATTCAAGAAGTCACTGGAACATTTCTACAGTTGGCATTTAGTAGAGAACTTTCTGATGGCATCATTAAATGCTACGTCCTTTAGTCATAGATTATGGCAGTCATAAAATGGTGTATTAGGAAGGAACATCTTTGTTTTAATACAAAAAAACAATTAAATAAGAATTGAGCAAGAAAGCAGATATTTTGTATGATAGTACAGAGAGATAATAGGAAAAAGATACGAGAAAGAGTAGGGAGATGAAAAGAAAAAGAAAAGGAGAAAAGCGAGAGAGAAAGAAGAGGAGGATATGAGGTAAAGAGAGAGAAGAGAAAAGGTAAGGAGAGAGAGAGAGAGAAGAGAAAAGGTAAGGAGAGAGAGAGAGAGAAGAGAAAAGGTAAGGAGAGAGAGAGAGAGAAGAGAAAAGGTAAGGAGAGAGAGAGAGAAGAGAAAAGGTAAGGAGAGAGAGAGAGAGAAGAGAAAAGGTAAGGAGAGAGAGAGAGAGAGAAAAAGGTAAGGAGAGAGAGAGAGAGAAGAGAAAAGGTAAGGAGAGAGAGAGAGAAGAGAAAAGGTAAGGAGAGAGAGAGAAAGAGAAAAGGTAAGGAGAGAGAGAGAGAGAAGAGAAAAGGTAAGGAGAGAGAGAGAAGAGAAAAGGTAAGGAGAGAGAGAGAGAGAGAAAAGGTAAAGGAGAGAGAGAGAGAGAAGAGAAAAGGTAAGGAGAGAGAGAGAGAGAAGAGAAAAGGTAAGAGAGAGAGAGAGAGAGAGAGAGAAGAGAAAGGAAGAGAGAGAGAAGAGAAAAGGTAAGGAGAGAGAGAAGAGAAAAGGTAAGGAGAGAGAGAAGAGAAAAGGTAAGGAGAGGGAGAGAGAAGAGAAAAGGTAAGGAGAGGGAGAGAAGAGAAAAGGTAAGGAGAGGGAGAGAAGAGAAAAGGTAAGGAGAGGGAGAGAAGAGAAAAGGTAAGGAGAGGGAGAGAAGAGAAAAGGTAAGGAGAGGGAGAGAAGAGAAAAGGTAAGGGGAGGGAGAAGAGAAAAGGTAACGGGAGGGAGAAGAGGATAAAGGGCTAATTTAAAAAATGATACTGTCTATAATTTATAGAGAAAAGTTAAGTCATGGAGAGAGAGAGAGAGTGAAATAATCACATTGTGAGCAAAAGAAAGTGGAGGTGGATAGAAACGTCTGATATATGAACATCACATCAGCTTAAGACTTATTTAGAAGAACTAAGTATTTTTTCAATAAAATACTTAATTATTTTCTTATTTCCCGTATTTGATAGGACCTGCTGCTTATTTTGGTTCATTGATTTTGTAATCAGTCCAGACCGAATGGCAAATCAGAACAAATTGACCAAGATAGAAAGGCAAATGTGAAATGTACTTGCAAACAGTTATAATGGTTGCTCATAAGTTAATGAAAAGAGAATGTTTATTTTAAGAAATTAAATTTGTTTTGTTTGTTTTTTTACTAGTCTTCACCAAGTACAAGGCCCAATAGCCACTCAAGGTAGAAGGTTACTGTGTGGGTTTATATTGGCGTATGAAAGGACAGGCCTTAAGAATATAGAGCTGAGATAGATTTCAGAAGGAACCGTAAACCCAATCCTAAACAGGAAACAAAAGATAAAACTCTACTCATGTTTAAAAGACCAGGGAGGAGTATAAACTCTGACAATAGGTAAACCTGTCACAAGTCAAAAGCTATAACATGAACAAGGTCTTAAATGCACTAAGCAAATAGAAAAGACTTTAAAATATCATTTGCCAAATACATTTCTTTTTAAATTTGTATTTTTACTGATTTTTTTTTATGCCAAAGTACAGATTGATTTATTATTAATCATTTACTAAAAAAGACAAGGTTTTGCTAAATCAGAAAATAGAAATAAATTAAATAATAGGAAGAGGACAAAAGTAGAAATCATATTTAAGATTTGATCTTTGTTAGTCTAATCTTCAATCAAATAAATCCCATTTTGTGGCACATTGACTACAATATAAGGGTCATGTAGTGCCAAACAAGTATTTTAAATGTTGTGTCACATTGAATCAAACAAATTTGATTTATTCACTGCCATCATTAAAAGTTCTTCAAGCTCCAAATAATTTTTTATAACTACACATTCTTCCTTTATATTATTTATACTTAAGACTAATGTTTTCGTCTTTGTCGTTATCATGTTTTGGTAATTGTGGCCTCTGGCCTTCTTCCATACAACCTCCATGGAATTTTAAACTGAATCCTTTATTTCATTTATGGGATTGTGGATTGCCCATGTTTAGGGGGATATTGAGCCCGTTTCTTATTTAGTACTGATGATATAGTAATTGTGAGATCAGTCTCTGAGCTAGTTAGTGCATATTTCAAATGTGGAAACTAGGCAAGCAATAAGACAAGATGAGATATCCATAGACATGGTCAGTTGAAAATTCCCTGGAAGTTATCCAGAATGACAAGCACTGCAGCCAAAATGTTATTATAATAACAAAGATGAGAATAATAGTCCAAGTGTAAATAATGATAATTCCTCATTTCAAAAATTCAAACAGAAAATAAATATTCATCCTTTGAATTTTTTTGTTTTGATTTTTTCAAGTTTTTTAAAAAAGCCATTATTTTTTTAACAGTCAGAATACATTTTACCAACATGATACAAATTGCTCTCATCAGAAACTTCAAGACAAACATTTATTGGATAAATTTGAGCTTTGCTAAAATAAAAGAATTGTAGAACATTTTGTATGAAAATCTTTTTCATAAAGTCTGAACTTTGTACTCCATTCTTAAAATATAATCAAGTTTTTCTACCAAAGAAACATATTTTGATAAAAATCTTAAGACAAAAGAAAAAAAAAATGATGAAAAATAAGATATAAAACAAACATTCTCTATTAACCCATTGTACCTGTTCACAATTAGGATTCTAACATTATTCCTCTAAAAACAGTCATGAGGTGCCAAATATATTTTTGAAACCTTCATCACTCATTAAAATTTTTGTTTTACTTGATAGATCTCAAATTAGAAAAACTAACAATTATGACTCTTAGATACAAGACAATGTCATTTAAAATAAAATTCAGTTATTTTAGGTACAATGGGTTAATAGAATACAAAAAATAAATAAAAAAAGAGCACTTACCTGTATAGTTTGGTAAGTATCCATTTCACAAGCCATAAGATATTGTCTCATCATCAAACATGTATCTTGGTCAAAGCCAGTCCATTTAATGATGACATGTTTATTGAAAAGGTCAGTTATTTGATGTTATCATGTTTTGGTTTTGAAGTCAGTTTTGCCCCTCATAGAAAAGTTCTCATCAAAAGGGCATCCAATAAAATTTTATTGGACACATGATATAGAAGACCTTTTTTCAGTATTTCCAAATCACTTTATCAGTTCATTTCTAAATTGGTATGACATTTACTGACAATCAAGGCCAGAAATTTTAGATTGTCAACCTATATTTAACAATTGCTTTTATTGTCCATTCACAACCCCCATTTTTTATCCTATTTTCTATAATGGGGGATAGAATTCTGAGTTTGTTTTTCTTTGGTGCTTTTTCTTTTATCATTTTTGCTGAAACGGAAGTTTTCATTGAGAACTTTACTTTCACGCTCACAAGTTGTAACTATTTTTGTTTGCTTTTTTAGACTTTTCCCAGCAATCCTTTTCATCAGATTTGCTCACAAATTTTATCGCAGATCAACTTTTAAAGGCAGAGAGTTCTTGGTATTATGTCATTATTTGAATTGCATGTATAATAATTTTACAAATGTAAAACAAAAAACTTTCTTTTTTTTTTTTTTTTTAACCTGGTGGAATATCTCAGCCATCACGCTCATTAGACAAAATGAAAGTTTGTTTTAAGCACGGTGTCAGGTCCTGAAGTTGTTTCATGGGGTTAATCCATTCCTTTCAAGCAACGTTTAATTTTAAAAACATAAAAAAAAGTAAGAATTTCTGAATTCCGAAGATCTTTAAACAAGAGTTGCTTCCCTTGGATTGTTTTGGGCTGAATACCATCCAATCCATCCAATAAATGTGTTGTAGTCATGTTAATATTTTTTTTATGTATTAAATCTTAAAAATGACTTGCCTCCCTAACAAATTTCTCAAATTTTATCAAAGTCAACTTCTGCAAGGCAGAATAAACATGAGCGCGTGTATGTGTGCATGATATATATTATATATCCTCATGTATAAAGCGACTTCATGTATAATGCGACCCCTAGATTTTTTTTACATAAATTTTAACACCTCTAGAAAATTTTTTACCTGCATATAGTGTAACCAATCAATGAAAATGCATGATATTCAACCTCTTAAAAAAAAAAAAAAAAAAAAAAACCTTACCTGTGTATAGTGTGAACCCCTACTTTTTTTTGCAGAAAAAAAACTGATCATAAAAAAAAAACTTACTATACAGCACAAATCATTTTTTTTATTAAACAACACAGTTATTTTGTTCATTTTATTTTATTTTTTATTACAGTTGCATACAAGTGTTTTCTTTTCTGGACTTAAGGAATGTACAAACTGTCCAAAAGTTTGTTGGTTCCAAGTGCTTTCTGCTAAACTATCAGCCTTTAGTATAACAAAAATCCTTTAAAATTGGTAATAATTTAGCTGGAAGCACTTGGAATCAACAAATTTTTGAACAATTTGTACATTCCTTAAGTCCAGAAAAGAAAACACTTGTATGCAACTTTAAAAAAAATAAACAAAAGTACTTTGTTAGTATTATTTAATAAAATGTATTAAAGATACAAATGCACAACTATAAAATATTGGTTGGCTTTTCATTTATGATTATACACATTTGCTAAGGTGGCAAGCTAATCCTTGCTGCAGATGCCTGCTCAGACACTTTTGTGTTTCTTACACAATTACAGAGTTATACCTTATTTACAATTTTTAAGAGTGCATACATAATCTGACATGATCAGCAGTTGAGTAATGCCAGTAACCTCAGACCCTCCTCCATCAGAGTGACACAACTTTGTGCTAGCAGAATCCTTGGCGCCTTCCCAAAATGAAAATTGTCTGCTGAATTTAACTCACAAAGCCTGAGCCAACCTGTGAATTTTCAGGGTTTACTTCCAAACACTGTCACATGCTAAGATCATCTCCTCTGACTGCTATTTTAAGTCATATTGACAAATTGATGATGGTGGAATTGAAACCCGAACATTCTGACCCCTCAGCTATGCACCCATATAAAAGTGTGCATGTATGTGCTTCATATGAGCATATGAAATAGAATCAATATGGTCAATGCCTGCCAATATCTATTCATTCATCAACTTAGATATTTATTAGACTTGTTGCACAGGTTATTTACATAGCTTAAAAAAAAATAAAAAAAATAAATTCCTAACTTTATAACTGAAACCATTGAGGGAATTGATTGATTCATTTTTGATGGCTTATCAACCCCATCCATTGAAAAAAAATATGCAATTCATTGAGCTTTCTTTTGCAGCCATCACACCTATATTTACATGCCAGATAAGTTGTTTGTTTTTTTTTCATCTACATGTTCTTTTTCACTATACAAATTTCTCCACTGAACCAAGAAGGGATTTACCACTTCCACTACCAACACCAAAACAAAACAAAAAAAATATTCTGATTACTTGGTGATTTTTTAGAAACCAAGTCATGCCAAAAACTTTTCAGCACCCCCACTGCACAAAATGTTTCTCAAATATGTAAAGTCAAAACAAATTTGTGAAGCACATTTATTTATTGTGGGCAGGTGGATTTCAATTTGAGGTGACTGCTTGAGTTTGTGCCAGCCACAGATTCTCTCTAAAATATGAGGTCCCTAACTACATTCAATCAAGACCCCACTTAATAACAGTAATTTCATAATTTCAGACTGCACTCTCATAATTGCTTGAGAGTGAAGGGATAAATCTATTTCAGGTTGAACAGATTAAATAATACTGAAGAGAAAACAAAAAAAAAAAACATGTAATAGCATAAGAGACCCACTGAAGAAAATATCCCTTGGGTTTTATATACTAAGTTGAGCCTAATCTTTATCCAGACACCATAGACAACTAGTACTTGTGCCTCTAATATTATTTACTTAAGTATAAGTGTTGTTATTACAAGTGCATTCTATCTTCTAACAGTTGACTGAGAAAATCAGATTTGGGAAGAGGAGAGAAAAGAAAAGTTTAAAAAAAGAAAAAAGATCTTAAATAATAAGATGAGTTGTTTTTCTTTGAGATAATTTAAAATTGTAAAACAAAATCTTTTCCTGCAATCAGTGAAAATCATCCATTTTATCATCAGCTTCTCTAATTGCACCATTTTGTTGACAAAAGGAATTCCATCAAACTGCAAATGCTGGTTTCCAATTGGGCTTGGACACAGATTGCTAACACAAACATCAAATACAGACCTAAACTATCAAGAAGATCCAATGGAAAATAAATGCATAGATGCAAATTAAGTAAATTAGCACAGAATTTGCATTTATGTAGAAGGATTTAAAAAAAAAAAAAAAAAAAAAAAAAAAAAAAAATGATTTTGTTGCTTTTCTGACGCAGTGAGAAATATAATGAACAATTATTCTACAGAAAAATCTCATCTGATGACCAAATTGGGAAAAATAACAATATGCATTAAAAAGAAAGAAAAGTATTTTTCTTAAAAAAAAAAAAAAAAAAAAACAATTCTAAAACATGATCCATATTCCTCCTTTTAGGCTCGACTGAGCCATTCAGTAATAAATTAAGTATCAAAACAAAAATAAACAAATTGTAACAATTTAGGTAAATATATACAAGAATTAATAAAAAAAACATTTGTATGTAAAAAAAAGTAATGATTCAAAAAAAAAAAAAAAAAAAAAAAAAAAAATGGCTTTGAAAAATCCATAACAAATTTATATTGCAATACATTTCCTTTTGAAAGAAAATAAATTGGCAGTAGCTGAAATTTGCTTCAGGACAAACCAAGATTGATTTCAATTGAGAAATCATACATAAAATTTTATGTACATATTTAAATTGTTTAATATACACAATAGTATACCAATGAAATAACAAAAGTCCAACATTTCTTTTAATTATGAAAGACGCATTTACACAGTAACCATTTGATTTATTTTATGCCAATAATAATTTTGTTCTCAAGAGTTAAGACCCAGTATGAAGATATACATCAATAAATTTTTTTTAAAAAACTTGTCTCAATGACAAAAGAAAAACTGATAAAATATTTAGTAGCAAAAAAAAAATAAAAAAAAAAAAAAGTCACCAATTATTTATAGGGTCATTTATTTCTGCGATTGGAGGAGGTTTTGTTTTTCTGTGAAAACATTTCACACTGACCATGGTTCCCAGTTACACACGTAAGCAAGAGTAGACAGCTTGTCTACTCTCATCTTTCTCTTTGCAAAGATATCCACTACTAAAGATGAGAAGTGGAGGGGGGGTCATAATCCATGCTGTTGAGAAGGGCCATCTTCAATGATAAAAATCACCCTTTTCTGGAAGGATCTAGCAGTTGCCAGAAGAAAACATTACCAATTTCTTCAGCTTCACATTTGTGACCTGTTTAACATTTCTGAAGAAAAACTCACAAAATTCACTGCCTGTGATACATTCTTGCTGCCTTGTTTTGCCTTCTCTTCACATAATATTTGATAGCATTTATACAATGTGGGTAGATATAAAAGAAAATTTACTATGTACCAACTTTTGATGTTAAGTCTTTTCTAAATATTGGTTAACACAAGGACCTTACTTTCCCATGTAATTAGAGTGGTGATTGCTTCAATCATTTGAGTGAAGCATAACAAAGAAAAACAATTATTTTAAATTATCTTCTACAAATTTTTCTGATTTGGGGGGTTTTTTGGCTTACAAATTTTTAAAGTAAATATTTTAGTTGGCAGTTTTTCATTCCCAAATCAAATACTACAGAATATTATAAACCTTCATGCACATCACAATTGTCTGCCAGTGTGACGAGATAATCCCTTTTGCAGACACTTGATCAGATACAATTTTGTTTCCTTAACACCCAAAGCCAAACTCTGCTTTACACTGCAGCTATGCTGAGTGAATCTTAGTGATAGTTTCTGGGAGAGAGCACATAATCTGGCATTAGCAACACTTAAACAAGGCCAGTCCACTGATACCCTCGGTCAGCTTCTGAATGATTTTGCTTACCTAATTTCACTCAAATGGCTTGAATCAACCCAAGGCATGGATTTTAGTCAACTTGCCAAGAGTGTTGCATGCTGATATCAACTCCCCAAGCTAATGCTATCAATAAGCTACACCTCCTTGACAAATCAATCAAATTGAAGTTAAAAGATCATTAAACAGGTCTAAATTTGTTACCATCTAAAAATTGATGATACAATGGATTGATTTTTTAAATTTAAAATATTTTAAGAATAAAACAGGGAACATTTCTGTTCAGTTTGACAAATGCAATAAGAAAAATTCAATTTTAGATTATTTTCCATAACAATATTTAAAAAAATAATTTTAAAAAATGTCAATATTTTTATAGAGAACACTTTTAAAAATACAAATGTTGATAAGGAATTCACAAATGTAAAATTTATGCTTAAAAAAAAAAAAAAAAAAAAAAAATCAATTTGTGTTCAAAATGTTTAAAAATTTGAAAAATCTGTATAATGATAAAATATTTGATAGGAAAAAACTTGTAAAAAGTATTTTTTTTTTCAAAAAATCCATTTTGTATTTGATTATTTTCATATCAAAAATTAAAAAATGATTCCAAAATTTCATCACAAAAAATTTTTTTGTTGGATAATTCAAGTAAAAATAATAATAAGCACAAATAACAAAAATATGCAAAAATATTTTTTCTCAGATTTTGTGAACAGAGTATGATTAAAATATCAAAAACTAAATCAGTTGGAATCAATAAAAATATCAAATAAGTAAAAATTCATTAAAAAAAAAAAAAAAATTCATAAAAAAGATGTAGAAAATTTAAAAAAGAAAAAAAAGTTTCATCCATTTGGATATACAAAGTATATAAAAAATATTAAAAAAAGAATTCCTGCATGAAAAGTATTCTTCCAATATGAACTGAATAAAAATGAAACTCTCAAAAAGAAAAAATATTTTCTGGGTAAATCTCCAAAGCATCATAAGATTACAACAGCAAAGATATTTTTTTTACTATTAAATATTAACATTTAGTGAAAGAAAAATTATCCTGAGAACATTTTCTTTATATAATATTCTGAGGATGAATAAAATCAATTAGAGTTTATCAAATATTAATCACTCACAAGCAAATTTTTCAAATAAATTTTTATCCTTAAAAAAAAAGGATTAAAACTTATATGGTGAGAAATAGAAATGAAATAGTGAAAAAATTTTTGAAGACATCAGAGATGAAAAAGTGAAAAACAACTTGAAAAAGAAAAGAATTTAATAAATTTGGAAAATTCAAATAATCTAAAAAAGAAGGAGTGGTTTACCAGTTGTCACATGATTTTTACTTACGTGTCTGTCTGAGCTGCAAGTTTGTTGTGCTGTAACAAGGCATCAAGAATACATCCTTCAAGTGTGCGGATATGACCCTCACTAGAAAAAGAAACAACACATAATGGTCACATTAAAGTTCACCAGCAATGTTCCCCTGCATTGTCTTGGCTACACTAATTTTCAAATATCAAAAGTAACTTATCTAATGGATGGTTACCACTTTTTGCTAGGATAAAATTACAAGAAGACATTTGATATTAAGACTTCAGTAAATTTACATGGCACTTTTAATGTAAATGAAGGAGCCAACAATGAAAAGAGTAAAAGCCGCTTAATATTAATCTAAGAGACAGAAAGCACATTCTTAATTCCAGACAAGTTGTCCTGGATATGATAATAAACTACATCTGGCAGCAAGACCTCCAATCAGAAGATTGGAGGTTTTGAGGAGCATGTTCCTACCTCTTAAATGTGGTTGCTCCCATGTCCACCCTGACCTGGGGTGGTAGCACGCATTAGGGTCCCAGCTATGAGCAAATAGTGAACACCCAAACAAAAATCAACAGTACATTTTTATAATAAAATGAGCAACAATACATTTTTATAGCAAATGACAATACGACAAATATATATATATATATATTTTCATAGTAAAAATTACCAATAATATTGTGTTGGAATGTGTCACGAAAAAATAAATGATTTTGTCTTTTTCTCTCCTGCTGTCATAGCGACGGCCACAGTCTCCACTTCTGAGACTGAAAACTGCCCTCTTTCTCATTCCAGCCCTTTACATAGAGCTTGGTAACTCACCTATGCAAAACACCAACAAGCCAGCTACCAATCACAGTTCCCGCGCCTGCCCACCTCCACTCACTTTGGGGGTGTCAAGTTGACCGACCAATTCATTACACCCCCCCCCACGATCTTAAGATCATAAAGCTTCTCAGTTCGAGAGATGGTCGCGTCTGTCTGGTGACTGCATCCGCACATATACAACTTGCACGCTTGACATATTGGGATAACCACACATGCGCGAACTCATTTGCTCCGAGGTGGCAGATTTCCAGATTCATACTGTGTCTCGCTGTCATGATTGTACACCGTGCAACTCAGGGCAGGCCTCTTCTGCCGGGCACTCCTTCTGAGCGGGATGACAGGGTCCTCATCCTCGGATGAACTCTCATCCGTTGAGCTACCATCCGCCTCTGAAGAGCTGGCCACGCTGACGTCCGCAGGTAGAGTACTGATGTTTACGGTAAAACTCAATGGATCCAACTTTAAATACACCACTCGCGCACCATCTTCAGAGTCACTTTCATCATCTAATGACAGTTTTAACCCTACAACTGGCCGCAAGTCTTTAACATGACTAGGCAATCCAGACACAAAGGCACAGGTCATCCATTCTTCAGGAAGCGGTGCGATCAGTACGGCGAGCTTCTTTAATTCCGCCAAATATACGTCTACTGTCTCACCAGGAATTGGTCATAGACCACGAACCGGTCAGTTCCAAACGCAGTTAGTAGAGCGTGCTTTATTTGCTCAATGTCACTTTTCTGTTCTTTGCTCAGCTGCCTATACACAGCAAGGGCGCCGCCTTTCAAGCGCAGTGGAAGAATCCGTTCAATCTTTGTGATCTCGCATAATTCACAGACCAGTTCCACCTTTTCAATCCATTCAAGCACAGACAGTCCACTCGTATCACCAGTGAATTCGGAGATCAGTTTTATGTTGAACGGTCTTTCCGCCATCTTGCTGGAGACAACGTAAATGCCGAAATAGCTTGTGTTGGAATGTCACGAAAAAATAAATGATTTCGTCTCTTTCTCTCCCAGCAATCGTAGCAACAGACACAGTCTCCACTTCTGAGACTGAAAAACACTGCCCTCCTTCTCATTCCATCCCTTTACATAGAGCTTGGTAACTCACCGATGCAAAACACCAACAAGCCAGCTACCAATCACAGTTCCCGCACCTGCATACCTCCACTCGCTTTGGGGGTGTCAAGTTGACCGACCAACTCATTACAATGACTAATGACTAACAAACTATCTAAAAAAAACATACCTTTTACTTTGAAAATATAAAATTATGTACAAAATATTTACATTTTGGCATTAAATAGCCCATAGACATATGCGGCTGAACAAAACCAACCTATCTCTAGGCAAGTCTATCAAGGGGAATAATTCTTTCAAAATGAAAGTAGAGTTACCTCCCTTCAAAAGTTTAAAAAATGTTTGTCATTTTGACTAGATTAAATTTTTTTATTAACCATTTCACCTCAAGTTCAGGCAATAAAACCGCTAAGAAGCAAGGACTACTGAGAATGTAAGAAAATGAGAAAACACTATTGAAACAAAAAGCTGGAAGAATTACACAGGCGAGGACTGTGAGAGTAAAAAGAGAGAGAATACATAAGTAAAAATAAACGAATATATAACAACATATGAACAAGTATTTTTAAATAATGAAAATTAAAAAAAAAACGAAAAACCAATGACTAAAGCAACAGGACAAAAAAAAAATGAACAAAATGTAAAGAAAAAATGATAAGATTTCAACAAGAGATGTCAAAAAATTAACCTCATTTTCATCTTCACAATTATACTATATACTCAAAGAATCAAGGCTTAGCAAAATGACCAGCAGAAGGTAAAAATAATCACAGCATATACCAAGAAATAGGGCATAGGGGGCTCTTGATAGAGGTCTGGCACACTACACCTTCGGTTGGACGGCATCACTGGTCCTCAACCATGTCAATCCTTCAGATGATGGCTCCAAATTGCCATGCCCCAATAAACCATTTCAACTGACAGGTAAACTCATATGAGGGGGTGGTGTTAACACGGCACCATTGAGCAAAGAACCTCCTCAGTGCAGGTCACCTACCAGTGCCAAAGTTCCCTCAGAGGGATTACAACAGCCACGTGTATGTGACTAAGGCAAGCCACCTAGTTGGAGGACATCAGCTGTGGTCTAACCTAGAGAGGGATGGGCTCCACCAGGTTAGAATGCCCAAGATAGTCCACATGATAAACACACTAAGACAACCAGGTATCATCAAAGCACAGTTTATAAGTACAAGAAACAGACAGGAAATTATGAAAGAGAATTGGAAGAAATTTGCTATCAACCATTTTTTTCATTCCTTTTTCTATCGTTTTATTTTTGTTTTTCTTATCTTATTGAAAACATTAAAAGACACGGACACATTTTAACCATTCTGGTTATCTTACATCATTGCTTTCCAATCACTTTCCCTGGAGTCTCCCAAATTACCTTCAGACTGATTTCATATTTGGTAATCTTCATTATATTTTTTTTTTCTCTTTCAAGGCATAAGAAGGTTGGAAATTGAAGATTACTGGATTAAACATGAGAGGGGCTGAAGAGTGCACATAGATGTTGAAACAATAAAGACACACGTTATCAATCTGTTGCAGAAAAGAGGATAAAACACATAGATAGTACAAGCATCGTATCTACAACTACAAGACTTGATTTGCTTTCACCAATTATGAAACTGACTGCTTAAGAATTTTTTTTAGACAGAACTAATGATATCAATATTCTAATAAAAAAGAATTCATTATCCTCCTGTGTTTGATACCAGTAGCAAGATGATCAAATTATAGATCTTAATTGCATTTATTAGAAAATATACTCAATTTAAAAACAGGAGTCATGAAAATGACTTCAAAAGGGACAGCTTATGTTCTTTCTCTCTGTTATCCACATGTTGTTACCAGATTGGAAAATTTTTCTTCCCAGCACAGGTATCGATTTCAATCTCATTAAATTTGTTCACATATATATTTTAATTTTAACCTCTACAAAATTTTTTTAAAAAGCTTTAAAAAATCTAATGCTGTAGAATTTCAATAACATATTATAATTATCTGATTTTTCTAAGATTAAATATTTTGTACCCCCCCCCCCCCGGCACACAATGATACTTATCTCCAAATTTATGATTTCACTGCTCAGTTCAGTGTAGGATTTGTCCAAAATGAGTGGGAAAGAAACATATTTTAATGTTTTACTTCAAACTCAGTCAAACTGTGTGTGTGTGTGTGTGTATGTTAAATGATACAAGCACAACAGACATGCACATATGCATTGCATGCATGCATGCAAATTCACATGCAGACAATATGTGATGGACAGAGAATCAGTTATTCCATTTTAATATAGATTATTATTGCAGTTGCCAAACTATACACAACCTACTCGATGTCTCTTGACTCTTACGCTGACCAGTAAGTCCTTGGTTTACACTTGTTTTACTACATTCATGTCTACGGTTTTCACATTTTTATCAACATATATAGAATAGAATGCTACCATAAAAAAATCCTTGTAAATAACACTGTCATTTTAAAAACATCTAATTCAGGGGTTCTCAACCTTGCTATTTGTCAGAATACCATTCCCCACTATTCCTTTTCAAGGTGACAGGCCAGATAGGCCAAATTCTATAATTGCCCCCCCCCCACCAACTTACAGTGTTAACAATTCACCCCTGAAATCCAAAATTCATCCCTCTTGAGAACCTGATCTAATTATAGAAAACATTTAAAGATAATGGAAGCATTTTTTTTTCAAATACTACAGAAATCCACTTAACATAATTTGCAGTGAAACTAACCAAAACATATTGGGGCTGTTCTAAAGCATCTCAATATAGAATAACTACTATTCCTATACAACATATCATAGAACACAAATAAAAAAAAAAAAAAACAAATATTCTAACAAAATCCTTAAAAATATCTAAAGAAATAGCAGAATGCATTTAGGACAATAATCACTATAGACACTTTACACTGATAGTCCTCTTTAAAGAAAATATAGAATAAAAAGTACACTAGAAAAAAAATGAATATAAAAAAAAAAAAATGTTACAAAATTTTCTTTGCCTGTCAAAGTTAATAAAACATGTATATATAAAAGGAGGTCTGCTACCCAAGAATAAAACACAATGTGATTAGATGTAACACTTTTCATAGAGAAGACAGATACAACACTTATTATTAATAAAAAAATAATTTTGAAATACTGTAATCTTTTCATAGTAATAAATTGTTAATTTTATCTAAAATTATTAAAGAAACAAACTAGTTTTCTATTTCTAATGAGTGATGCTGTCATTTTTTTTATATTAGCTTGAATGGTAATCTTGAAGGAACAAGACTGTGAATAGTACCATAAAGGACAAAGTCAATGACAAAAATACATTTCAAATAAAAACGTACCTTTTTACAGCAGTTAAGCAAATAATTCTCCCTCTGTTGATCACATTTGGGGTGTTGTCAGATAACTGGGTACGAAGTTTATGTTGGATATCGCTCGGTTCGCAAAGGACTTCAATTGCATGATTCAAGCCATGCATGACATCATACTCTTCTTCAGTGCCATGAGCACGAGCTGGACCAATGCGAGCAAGGGACAACATCAACTGAAGGTAGATGAAAAATAATAAAAATTATTAACAAAACAAATAGATATTTATTAAGGTTGCCTTGTGGCTGAGATAGTTATAATATTCTCATTGGTGCTAAAGGCTGGTGTTCAAGCTCATATAAAAATTTAATATACCTCTCCTCACTTGTCAGAGTGTGGTGACACAATCTTCATACACCTCATTTCTGTTTAGCCTTGTGCCAGACTATACTAAGCTTAGTTAATATTGTTACATTGTGTGCATATAACGGAGGAAAATAAGTTATGTTTAGGCATTCAGAAGAGGAAATAGATCTAATTAAAAAACAACAACACCCTTCTTTTTCATGTTTTTTTGTGGGATGTGTAGTCATCAAATGACCCTCTCAAAAATCTTACTTATTATAATACGCAGATTGTGTGTGTGTGTGTGTGTGTGTGTACATTTATATATTGGATCGGATTTCCTACATTTTTCAGCTGATTTCAACAAAACTTCACAGGACTATGTAAAATTACCTTGGGGTGGTTCTGACAGCGCCAAAAATTGGAAAAACACAATTGTTTTTGCACAAAATCAATTTGAAAACACGATTAAGTCACCAGAATGAAAGGGGGACAACTCATATAGAGTTATACTTATTATAAAACCCAGGTTGTTTGTGTGTGTGTGTGTGTGTGTTCGTTTATATATGGGATCGGATTTCCTACATTTTTCAACCGATTTCAACAAAACTTCACTTTTTTTGGCAGGTAGTGTTTCTTATTGTCTTGCACATTTTTTTCTTTATTTTTACATTCAGAATGCTTTAAAAATTCCATTTACAAGACAATTGTTTATAATAAAATTCTATTCAATCGGTAGACTCATAACGATTGAAAACAATGTTTTTGTTTGAGTTTGGGTTTGACCAATTCGTAAAAAAAAACAAAAAAACAAAACAAAAAAAAATAATTATTAAGACATGCGTGTCCGTCAACCTTAAACAATAATCTTTGTCAATTTTATTTTTCAGTCTTTATGATGGTCGATACTTGATCTATCTCTTACTGTTACATCCCTGGGCAACGCCAGGCTCTACTGCTAGTATACTATATTTCTAACAACCTGTAGAACTCTTATTTTTTTTTTTAAATCTGTTTTTTTTCCTTTCTAATCCTCAACCTTAAGTTGTTGTTCTCTATTTTACGCACACAGTTATAATATGAATTATGAAGAAAAAAAGAAACCGTTTCATTTTAAATAATAAACAGTCAAAGAAAAAATTGCTTCTATTTATATTTCTGAAATGAGGTATTGTAACTATTCATATCGTTATTGCCATATTCACAATTCTTTTATGTGTCCCTGTGGATAAAAGTGTTCGTGGCTTAATCCAAAGAAGTGTGAGTTCAATACCTGGCGACAACAAAGGGAACAAAAACATGGACAGTTGAGTTATTAAAAGGAATTAACTGAAACGGAGATATCCAGAAAAAGCATGGCATGTAGAATTAGAACCAGCTACCCCCATAGACTAAAGAATTTGGTTTGAAATTTGAGCATATATCAATAGGCCAAAGCATAGAACAGCCAAAATGTTAATATGGCAATAAAGATGAAGACAACAGTTCAAACAATGTAAATAAAAAATTCTTGTAAAAAGAATGTTAAAAAGAGCAAAATAAATGAAAAACAAGAGAAAAGCATTAAGTTTCCTTCACTTCTCCAAGAAACCAACTTGTAATTGCTGTTGTTCCCAGGTTCATCCTAGCATCAATTGTCCTGAAAAAGTAGAGTTTGGTTTTTCTGGAATAGATTTTACAAATCTACTACATACATACTAACAAATTGTAGGGACTTCATCCAAATCCATTTAAAACACTACCAAACAACCAACATGAATTCTTTCATGACATTAATCCATATAATATCCTACAGTTTCTTAAATTAAACTTTATTCCAAAATATAACTTCAACAAAACTACAACATAAAACACACATATCACCACCTCTAGTAATTATGTCCACACAAACATGTAGATGCACAAAAGCTGAGTATCATCTACCATGTACTCAATTGTGAAAGCAGAATAACGTATTTTTATTATTTCCAAGCTCCCAAGACAATTACATGTCAGCATTAAATGACTCATAAGGAAGTCATATGCTGTTAAACAGACAAATCAGCCAATCTTCTCCAAAACATGTTTTTATAAATTATGATTCATACTTACCTATGGTACTAAAATTTGTACTTACTAGTTTACCTATATGTCATACATGATTAGTATATTTTATGAAGTCTTTACTACAATGAATATCTAAAGAAGGGATTAACATTTACTAATCCATTTTTTTAAAAAACAAAACAAAAAATGTTTTTCTTGTCATTTGGTGCTGAGGTTGGAACAAAGGAAAGAAATATAATTTTTTTTTTTTTTACAAAACACAAAATTGAAACTAAAAATTGGCCAGCATAACATGATATAGATGGCTATAGTTGTTTCCTCAGAAGAGTTAGTGTGAAAAGACTTTTGCTAATGGTAAATCAGAATCAAGCTAACCAAAAGACCATGGAAAAAAAAAATTGATTTGATACAAGTTCATATCAAGATTTCCTTAAGATTGAAAGACGGTCTAGAAGCTTTTTGTGGAAAAAGTGAAAGATATATGTTGGAATATACCTTGTTTTTCTTCACCAGCAAAATGAATTAACAAATTTTGATAATTTTAAATTTTGCCTATACAAAAAAAAAGAAAAAAAAAAAAAAAAAACATTTAGGGAAAGTTAAATAGCAAGAATATTTTTTTTTCTGATACCAGAAGGCATAAGAGCTATTGACCCTATCTGTTTGGTGATTTTAAGAGAGAATCTAGCCAATGAAATTATGAAGAATCAGAACATGGCAGTTTTCTGGTCCTACTGCTTGATTCATTCTATTTCAGCCCACAGAAGCTTATGTAATGCTTGCAGGGTGGTTGTTATTCTGAAGGGTACATTCGATATTGATTCTTTCCTTTAGATATGTGTCCGAGTCTCCATTTATGATTTTTGCTCAGTGTTGTAAACATCAGGCAATCCCTTTCTTTACACTGTATGGATGATAGGAGTTGAGGTTCATCAGTGAAAGGTGGCTTTTGATACACAGATGTCTTGAACACATTCTCTGTGCAAGTTATTAGTACATCAAGTAAAGCGAGCTGAATATTATTTTCTTTCATTGTGAACCGGATTGAAGATCTCATCAAGTTCACATGGTCCAGCAGTATTTATACAGCTTTCTGGTGTGGCCAGATTATGAAGGTGTCATCTGCATATCTACGCTATATAGTTGTCTTTAGGGGTGCAGTTCCTAAAGCCATTTCTTAGAAGTATTCTAGGTACATGTTCATCATCACAACTGGTAACAATGGTGAACCCATAGCCAAGCCTTTCTCCTGTTGATGTACATCAGAGTCTAGTTGGAAGAATGCTGTTTGTACACAGAACATCAACATTTCCATCAGGTTATCTGTTGGAATGCTAATACATTCTCCAAGGGTGGGGTCTGATTCTAATTGGTTTTGATCCACTGACAGAGCCTAATCCATAGGCTCTAAGTGAACAGGCTCACTACATCCGACCTTACAATACGAGTAAATTGACAAAATGAATCAACAAACACCTGATGAAGGACACAGCAACCGAAAAGTTGTGAAAACAATAACAAACATGAGGACACTCGTAAATAACGTAAATAACTGTTATAATATATTACCATATATGGTAAACTCATGCCAGATTTGAACCAGACCTCACACTCCACTCTTGCTTCCATCCCACCCCCTATATATTCCACCCACTCTATTGTTTCGCACTCCCACCTGAAGATTACGTCCATCACATGAGACGGACAACAGAATTTGGGAGGAATCACTTTTTGGTTGGGCCATGGACTATTCAGCACTACCTTGTAAATATTTTTCTAAGAGGAGCCACATGTGTAGAGCACCAAATGAGGAACAAAATCACTGTAATAGAAATTCTCTGCAAGAAGAGCTTGTTATCCGTTACACCAAAATCAGGCATCATCTACAGAGTGCGATGGGTAAATTGTCGCCATTTTATATTTTTAATTTCATGCATGGACGTTGTTTGTTTTTGATTTTGCTGACTACACAGTATAATAGGGTCAGCTGGACACCATCCGTGAGAAAAAGAGCATCATCACATAATTCACTCTGCCAGAAACTGCTTGGCATACGCACCAAAAACTCCTATATGAGCATTTCAAAGTGTTTGAGTTTCAATCTGAGGACAGTGCAGAGAACTCAGAAAGAGTTGGATGAGTCTAATGGTGATTACAAAGGTGCTTGAAGAGATTACTAGCGATGTCAACATTATGCCTTCATTCATCTTCCCACAGAGCCTCACACTCAATACAGAGGCCTACATCAAGTGCCTTGAAGAGGTAGTGCTGCCCTGTGTCAGGAGGGTGGCTGCTGGAAGACTATGTCTGGCAACAAGACTCTGCACCATGCCACATAAGCAGGAGAACCCTGTCATGACTGTCAGACAATTTCTGCAACTATATCACCCCTTACATCAGGCCACTTAACTCCCCAGACTGCACCCCTCTTGATTATTATGTGGGGTGCAGTTGAGCAAGAGACCAACAGAACTCCTTGTAACATCTAAAATGAACTGAAGGCAAGGATTATGGCATCATTCACCAACTTAAACAAGGAGACTGTCCAGAAGAGATGCAAGAGATTCCAATGTCATCTGGAGGCTGTGGTTGAAGCCGATGGCAACTTTATTGATTAAATTTACTTTAGTATTTTAAGATATTTTTGTGTAATTTTGGTAAATATATCTGTTAAAATGAGATGTCAGTGTTATGTTCATCTTTGCGTAATTTAGACAACAGTTTATCCATCGCACCCTGTATAAAGAGGAACAAATTCAAGTTAATTGTATGACACAATTGTCAAAATCAGAGAATTTTAATACACAAATATAATGGGTCAAAATTATTTACAAAATTCTGTAAAAATGATCTATGATCATTTTTACAGAAAGAGAGTACATGGAATTTTAATCCTGACCTGTTGTATGCCTTGTTCCTTTGGGTTCCATGTGTTCAGTGAATGAATACCAGTCACTACCCTGATCTGTAACAAAAAACAAAAAAGAAAATTTAATTCCAGGATATTAAATCAAATGAATGTGACTGGCCAGAGGAAGACGAAGAAGCGGAATGAACCCCACTGGTCAGAGGGAAACAAAGCAGCAAAATGAAACCATAGGAAGTAAATATATGAAGTTTTGAGGTTAGGAGAGTGCAAACTATAATAGCACTGAAATAGTTTTGCATGAGAAAATACACAAGAACTGATTTGATGTTGCTAGCTAATGAATTTGCCAAGGTAAGAAGCTAGACATTACACAAAAATAATGGTATGTCAGAACAAGGATGAACAAAAATGTGATAAAAGCAGAAAAAGGGGGGTGGTCACATTAATTAGCATCAATTGTCCTGAAAAAGTAGAGTTTGGTTTTTCTGGAATAGATTTTACAAACCTACACTGGGTAGATATGAAGTGATGTGCTGGGAATATAAAAAGAATGGTCACAGGCAGAAAGACTGCCTCTTTAAACAAGGTCACCCACCAAAACTGGCATTGATCATGATTTAATCTTAGAGAGGTAAGCCCAGCAAAAGTAAGAAATTGTTTGTTTAAATGGATTGTAAGCTCAGAGATAAGAATTAATAAGAAACAGTACCCCATTTCATCCCAAAAGATACAATTGTCAGTATTGTGGACAGCCAAAGCTTTATAAACAGAACTGCTAACAAACTCCCTGTTGGTGAAAAAAGAGGGCTCATTATAAAATAAACTGTCCCTCAGAAAGAGGTAAAAATGAAAGATAAAGAGAATATATCGTAATAGATAAAAAGTAATAGACAGAGGGTTATATGGCAACAAAACACCAAAGACAAATGGAGATGAGAAGGAAAGGTGCAGCAGTGTATAAACTCTTCACTGCAGGACCAGAATTGGTAGTTGCAGTGGAAGAGGTGAGTGGGGAAGGCTGATTTGTTCAGTGAGGCCTCAAGCCCCAGATGTGGAAGTAGTATTATTATATACTTAGACATTTAATTTGTTTGTATAGCACAAGGCCAACAATAATGAGGCACCAATTAATACTCACAGTCAAAATGGATTGCATAGCTAACCCTCCATCATTCTAATTTATCCATTCCTGATGGATATTTAACTTAGGTTTGTATGGCACAAGGCCACAGTAATCTGGTAACTCACAAGTTTAAACCATTGCTCTTTTAATCTGTCTATATATATCATTTATTTATTCCAATAGGATTTGATTGTAAGCTATAACTTAAATCCACCCGGCTGTTTCCCTATAAGGAAACATTCATCATTCATTGACCAAGCAGCCAGTACTACTCGCATTACACTTTTTGTCACTCTCTAACCATTGGGCTGGGATCTGTTTGCCTCATCTCTCATGATAATAATAATATTGGCGGTTTCATTTTGAGGAATCATTTGACATTCATTGATCGAGTAGCCAGTAATGCTTTCCGTTTAATATATAAAATCTTTCACTAAAAAACTTTTAGGAAAACAGGTTTCTCAAATCCATTAGCTGTTATCTCTCTTTCCAGTATTGATGGGGGTTTCCTTCCTAACCTTGTGAAATGTTAACATCTTGATTATGTCATTATTTTCTCTTAGATTTACATGTGCGATCCATTTTAGTTGTTGCCACTGTTGGTAATCCTGAAGTGATGTGGTTTCTGTTATTTGGTACAGTTCTTTGTATGTGATTCTATCGTGTCAGTCCACAAGGTTCAAAGCATACTGAAGTTACCTTGCTTGAATGGGATAAACCAATAAAAATCAAATGCCAGTTTTCTTTGTAAATTCACACATAAATAAATCTTTTGGAAAAGACTCATCATACTTTATAAAATTTTTCTTTATTGTTCACAATAAAAAACCCCAAAAACAGCATCCATTCAATAATTTGTTGAAATATAAAGATTAATTGAAAAATAGACAACTATTGGCCTAAACCAATGATCGCAAAAGCACACAATTTTCAAATCAAAAGTTGACACAAGTCCTAGAAACCTACACTTTTCTTAAAATTTTGGAGCCATCTTTTTTATTGACACCAGAATATTTGAAGTGGGATACAGCTAACTTAAGCCAGTAAATATTCAATAAAAAAATTCACAAAGTCTAAAAAAAAGCATTCAGTAAAAAATGCAAAAATAAAATGGTTTGCTTTCTTGATAAAGTAATCAATGGGTTGTTTTTTTGGTTTGTTTTTTTTTTTTTTTCCAGAAAGTTTTTATTGAATGGATGTCGTTTTTTTTTTTTTTTTATCTTGGAACAATAAAGAAAAATTAAAAGTATGAGGAGTCTTTTCCAAAAGAATTATTCATGTGTGAATTTACAATGAAAACTGGCATTTGATTTTTATCCCATTTTTAAGCAAGGTAACGTCAGTAGGCTTTGATGAATAGTCAAAATAGATTTTCTTTTTTTTGTAAAATAGTTTTTGAGTTAGTTCCGTCATTTTTTTTTTCCAAAGTTACCAGACTTGGACGGTGTGGGATGCCACGTGAGGATCGAACCCAGTACGAATCATCCTAAACGGGATGAACTATCGCTCGAAGTTAAGCACCTTAAGCCTTAACTCCACCTTAAATACCAATTTTTTAAAAGTAAGTTGACTACTAAAATTATTTTCGAAATGAAATGTGATGTGTTTAGGAGGTATTTGCATTCACTTTTGACAATTAAAGTCGATAAAAACGATCGAAAAAAATGAATAATACTAATTGATAAGAAGAAAGATTACAGAAAATTCGAATATAAAAAAATGAATCTTCTTATTGTTTTGAATTCGCTTCTTGTTCGTCTTCAGGTAACAGCTTTCAAACAAATCGTGACCCAGCAGACGTTCTCTTGCTTAAAAAAATAAAAAGGCCTAGCCTCCTTTCTTATTCCAAATTCAATGAAATTTTTCAGGCTAAAAAAAGACAATGATTACTTTAAATATTTCAGGGTTTTTTTTTGTTTTTTTTTTTTAGTTTTCTTGGTTCCTTCAAACAAACAAATGCGAACTTTTAAAATTAAACTAATCATGAAAAATACCTAAATTCTTTCCTTGTTGGTTTATGGAGGGAAAAAAAGAACAAAAAATAAAATCACCTTTTTCCCGTCTTTTAATGAAATTTCAAAATAACATTGGCATAAAAAAAATAATTTATTTTTATTTGACTGTCAAAGTTGGAAGTAAAAGTAGTTACTAAAAAAAAATTAATTTTTTTTTTTTTGGCGGGTGGTGGAAATAAAAATAGAAAATAAAATCATGAGTTTTTTCATTTACTTTTAATTTTATTTGTGAAAAACCAATAATAATTAAACTAATTAAAGAAAAAAAATATCAAGTAACGTTTATTCTAATAATTTTTATTATCAACAACATTTTTTTATAATTCCTAGTTGGATACGTGAGGAGCGCATGGTCAATTCAATTCTCATTCTAGAGAACAAAGACCAGACACCTTACCTAAAACAAAAAGTTTCTCTTTAAATGCATTTTTCTCACCTGCTCATAAAAATTTACTTACCAATTTCTGGGTGGGGAAAATATCGTAGACAATTCTCATGTATTCGATGACTGATTCGACACAAGAAGTCCATAAAGATTTGTATATTGGAGCAGCGGGAATGAGTCCCGGGCTTCGACATTTCGACAATATATCATATTCTACGGCCTGTTTGGACGATTGGCCAAAATGCGGGCTCCTATCCAAGACTATTACCGTTTTGTGGGACGATGGAAACGACATAATCTCACTTAGGGCTTTTTCACTTTTCTTTGTTTACTTTCTTCCTGATTTGAGATGTTCGAGACAAGCGCGGCTCTACAATCTACACAGAAAGCGACATAACACCGGTTCGTAGATTGATATTAACTGCAGACTTTCACTCTTAGTCAGCACACGGAAAAGGACCTCAAACGAACAAAGTTTTTTTTTTTTATAAACTCAAAAAATTGCTAAATATTTTTTATTAAATAAAATCAAAACATGAATAATCAAACGAGAGATTGGTAGTTTATCTTTTAAACATATTTATCATGCTTCGAATTGAAAGAAAACTTGCTGTATCTTTGTAGCAATTTAAAAATAAAACTAACTTGCAACATTAAATTAAAATAAATTTTATTTTTACAAAGACGCGGATGTTTTCGAGTTTATACTTCCGAAAGAAATACCAAATACTGAATTGATTTACCTAGCCTCATATTTCGATCACATATTTTTTAATAAAATATTTAAGAAGTTAAACAGTTATTATAACTCAGCTGTTGTAACTAATATTTAAAACGGACATAAGAAATTACGAAACAAGTCGAAACTACTTGCTTTAGATATGAAAATTCTTGGATGAAAAATAAAATGTCCAAAATGTAATTGTTTAATCTATAATAACTACTTAATTCCCCGGAAAAACATTCACGGATATATCAGGTTTTCTAAAGTCTGGTCTTGCGTGATAAACAATCTAAGGGAGATAATTCAATATTTAGTATGCAAAAATTGTTTCAGACGCAAAATTCGACAATACCTGAAAAAGCAAAAGTTATTTTTTAGTAATATAAAATATAAATATTACTACCTTATTAATATTACTACCTTATTTTAATTCATTGTTTCCAAAGTTTAAATTAGTTTTGTTTCCTCCTCATTGGCTCATTAAAAAAACTCTTGGAAATTTTGTGTCTATTTTCATCAAAAAAGAAAAGTTTGCGAAGTGGTAAAGAATATTTCCATTAAAGAGTTTAATTTGAAGTAACTGTAGCGGTAGCCTAATTTAGATAAATATGTGAAGAATGGAGACGATAAATACAAAATAGTCTACCTTAGACAAGAAAGGTTTTTCCACATTCACTTTGTGAAACTAACAAGTTGAGTATCGAGTACGTCGATATAAGATCTTTACAGCTGTATTTGTCGAAGAAAGAGAAAATAGTGAAGGAGATGGCAAATTCACAGGCATCACTGGGGTTCTGGTTTGTGTAGATAAAACTAAGATTAGAGAAATCTTGTATTTTCATTAAAAATTCTAAATCAAGGTTAATTCCTCTAATTTTATGACAAACTTTCACAAACAACTATAGAAAGATAATCGAATATCTCTGAATTTGTAAAAACGTCTCCTTTCTGCTTACTTTTCTTTCTTTCAGCTTCTTCCCGTTCTTTTGTCACTTCCTTTTCGTTATTGAAGTAATCGTCGTCGTCATCCTTGTGAAAATTGAAACCTTTCAGCCTTTTACATTTCTAAGAACTGCCAATGATTTTCGCCTACAAAAACCAAATTCCTTCTGCCTGTCTGACAAGCCAGGCTTCTTAAATAGCCACAAATCGGCTCCCATTTGAAACAGAAATTTGATACCATGGGATCGCAACTTACTTTTCCTATTAGTTAAAAAATCTCTTTAAACCAAATGCATCTCTTTAAACCGCGTCTGTTTGCAAAATTTATTTAGGCGGATTTTGAGAAAATCAGACTTGAGCCATTTTTTTTTACAAATTTGAAAAAAAAATTTACATATATCATTTTCATAAAGCGTCAAGCTTCATTTTGGCGGTATTTTTACATCATTAATTTGATTTTCACATATACAAAGTTTTACACATCAAATTTTATTCAGGACATTTTTTACTATCTGGCGTCAGGCTTGTTTTTTATGAAAAATACGTGTTAGTAACTTTCTTCTATTAATAAATGTTTTGTAAAACATTCCTCTCAAAAGAAAGTATAATAAACAAACCTAATCTGTTGCATTATTTTTTATTTACCCTTTAATTATTTTTATATAATGTTATATTTCTTTTATAGTATATCAATTTTTTATAACCACCCTGACAGTGAGAAAATTCGTCTTTGGAATTGACTTGGCAAAAGGCCTGAGTAGTTTGTGTGGACGGCCATTCAATTGTCTTTTTTGCTCTGGAGAACAATTCGTCACGGCCAATTTGAAAGTAACACTTTGTAAACTTTGTAACTTTGTAAACTTCAATCGAACTCATTTGCATTCGATTAGAAGCCAGGTATGGAAGCACAAAATGATCAAAAGCAAATCGTGGGTATATACTTTGCACTGCTTTCCCTCAAATGCAATTAAAAAAAAGGATTAGCAAGCGGAGCTGAGAGTTAAGATAAGTTAAGATTAAGTATCTAAACCTCCATTCATCGTTAACTGAGAGAACAAAGACAAATGAAAATCTTGGTGGAATACAAAAGGCGATTACCTTCCTTTGTTTGAGATGAAGTCACGTGACAGCCGCTGAGGGACATCACTGCATAGTGACAAAAGTGGCTTGATAGTCAGCTAGCAGGAATCAAACCGATCAGTAGTTTGTTTGTTTTTTCTTTGTTTCTAGCTCGGGCTCCTCGGCCCGTATTGAAGCTAAATCTGCCTCCCTCGGCCACTTGGTGTAGCTTTCAAGCCTATGATGCCGCTTTTCTATGGAAATATATCTTCACCAGATATAGAAAATATCTCTGTCTCGCAGCCTTCAATTTGGAAAAACCCAGAACTCGCCATTTCCCGTTTGCAGAATATGTCCTTGATAGCGACATAGCAGATAAATCCGACCCGCGCGAATCTTAAATCCTAAATATGGCTTCTCCATAAACACAGAAGAATCTTCCACAGACCCAACTCTTGTTGGAAATTATTAAACGAAATACTCCTTTTTTCGTCTTTCTTTCATTCTGCTTATTGTTGCATACATGTTATAGTTTCACTGCGTGGGGCACATGTAAATATGTGTATATAATTTTGTGTATGACTTAGCATTATAAAACTCTCTCTGAGAACAACGTATGTTTATCATTCCTTTTCCTTACAACCATTCCGTCCTGTCCTTAAAATAAGGTGTCATTATATAATGGATATAATAATACCAATAATGGGGGAAATAAAACTTACATAATACTCCTTTCTTCCATATCTCACACATTATCTGATGGTATATCCGACGTGACACGATATTATTATCCTCCATTAATATTAAATATAACACTTCATGAATGAAAGTCAATTTGTTCCGATTTTAACTATTACAACTAGAAGACTAATTATTTAAAGACAACAAAACGATAAAAGAATGAATACAACGGTAACATTTATTAGACTCAATGGATGTAATATTTAAAAATAAACCATGTCTTAACAAGAATAACATAAAAGAAAAATTAATGAGAAAATATACATACGTTTATTTGAAAAATGCAAATATTAAAGTAGTCAATAGATTTCGATAAAATTCCTTACTAAGAAGAACTGTTTTGTTTTTGTTTTGTTTTGTTTTTTTTTTTCACGAAATATATTCATATATAATACGGAGTTATTAATGAGTATGAATACTCCTTATTTCTATTAATGGACCATATTTTTTACGCTAAATGTTTTACTAAGGTTCAATGTAATGAATGTACAAATAGGTCATAAGAATTTGAGACGATTATAAAATAACAGGATTTTCATACGCTTCAATACATCCGGTTCTGCGATTTCTGAATACCTAATAAATAATCTTAATTTTTAGTCAGCAGAGTACATTCAGATTACCATTTGAAAGTTCTGGAGATGTTGTATATTAAATCTGAGCAACCTTCCCTCTGTATGAAGAAGGGATGGTTGCATGCTCATAATGTAATCCATCTCTGATATATAGTGCTCATTCTCTGGTAGTATTTTTCTTCCAACATGATTTTTGCCTTTGTGTATATATTTATACGTTTTGTTCGGTCGAGGAAACAACATCATTTTTGTCTACTTTTGATTTGAAGTGTCTGTTCTCTTTCTGTGTTCACAGAAGGTCGGTTTTACAGCCTAATGGTCGGACGGGCAGTCAGTCATACTCTCGGGTAGCCTATATGATTAGCGTGTGTGTGTGAAGTCTCTCTCTCTCTCTTCCACCCTCTCTCTCTCTGCTATCTCTCTCTCTCTTCCTCTCTCTCTCACACACACACACACACACACACTATCCTGTCCAGCTTCTCTTAAAGCCGTTATAAAGGAAATGTACGGACATAGTTGTAGACATCTGTAGCAAGCGAGAGTCGCGTCGTTAATGGCCAGCACTCTGGTATATTTGTGTTTGTTTTAAAATTTGTTTTGAGTAGAGTGCGGCGTGTGTATGACTTAGCTAGACGAAAATTGATGCGTTATTCAAGATATATGTTTTCTAATAATTGCAGAAATTTGGCTTTAATTTGTCATCTCTAACTATATGTAAATTGTGTTTTATTTTTCTGCTACAAATACTTTCTTACCAGGGAAAATGTTGTATTAAGAATTTTCTCGAAATAACGTTACCAAGAAATTGTACAAGAAAAGAAAAAATGAATTGATTTGGTTGCAGAGTATCGAAAATGGTGTTGGATATAATGTTAGCCAAATGAGTTAATTCTAAAGCATTTACTGTTCAAAAGGGTTTGTTAAAACTGGGCCTTCAAAAGTGTTTTGAAAATAGTGAGTTATGTTTGAAACTAGTGTAGTTTGTAGGTAGATTGCTACTTGAAGGTGATATAATGCTTTGGAAAGTATTACAGTTATATCTGTTAACAGCTAAAAGTATCTGAGGGGTTGACATACAAAAGGTTGGTTATTATATATATGTTTTGTATGACTTGAATTTGTTAGGCCAATGGATGCGTCGGCCTGATCTTGTATATTTGGTATGATCTGTAACATCTTCCTTGGGTTGATCTGGGCTTTTCAAGTAAGATTTTGTGGTTTTGTTTCGGTGAATCGACATGGGCTGATTTGATT